TTATCAAGGTTGCCCAAACCTTTGCATCCCACTGTAGTTTGGATTAAAAGGCTTTGTATCTTTTCTGTGTATATTTTAGTTACAACAGTCTTTTGTCCAATCCCGGGCTTTTGCTGAACAAAGAAGACTCCAACTATCTCTTCCCAGGCCAGCACCTGGCGCTGGCCCTGAACTTTATCCTTCTGAGCAAAACAGTTAGCAGATAACATAGTGAAGCATTGTTAGGCCTAGCTAAGCAGTTTTCACAAGGTCTTGCTGATACATACTTCATCTTGAGCATGCAAAGGTTATACAAAAATAATACAGTGAAATTCTTACCACCTAAATCTAAATGTGAGGATTCACTAGAATTTTCCCATTACAGATGACATCGATTTTTCACGTTTCAAGTTGTAAATGGAGAGCTGGTTCAAACCTAAGGATTGTCCCCTGCTGTTGCTTTGTAGTCCTACAGTTGTGGTGAGTTTGGTTTTCATGCACTTTGCTGCCTCAGTTACTATATAGAAACATGTAAAAAAAAAATCTATGATACAGTGAAGACAGTAAATATGAAAATTCGTGGATACGTTATATATAGTTTTGATTAAAAGGCTTCATATAATGGTGGATTAACCATTACAGAAACAAAACATGATTTAGGTCATTACCAGAACTGTTCATTTATAAACCTCATATATCATATTTATAGCAGGCCTTTAGTGACCTTTGTACTAAAGAAACTTAATACACACGAAAGCACAAACTTGTATCAGGTAAATTTATTATGGAGTCGGGGCAAGGTCTAAAGAAATTATTATAGCAAAGTTTTACTTATCCGTTTTTTAAAAGTGAGTCTGAAATACCACAACTTACAACAATAACAACAAATGATAAGCATAATGCATCATAATGCTCAGTGTTTTAATAGGTAAAAGAGGAAAATGGATGGGCCTCTTTGCTGGTCTGCTAATCAGAAGGATGTGGAAAAATGTTACACAGTGAAGTGGAAACTACTTTCTCCCTCAATCTCATTCAGTCTGTTAGATCTGCTAAAACTGTGGCAAAGAGCCAGACTCGAACCTGGACCGGCTGCTCTGAGCCGTCGCTCACTCGAAACACTGAGCTAAACCAACACCATGCTGAATTTGCATATCCATCCTAGTCTCGTCTCTGTGTTTTGATATTTCTTCAGCTTTCCCGGTCATGTCTCCATGTCTGTTTTTCCCCAGTCCTGGTGTCAATTCCACCTGTCTGAGTCTCTGTGTTAGTTCCTCTTTTACTGCAACTTGTACATGCTATGTTGTTATTATTAATAGTAGTTGTTGTTGTAGTAGTATTAGTAATATTGGGGTTTCTTCTTCTTCTTCTTCGGATCATGACAGCCGATAGTGTTCACTGTGGACTAACTAAACAGAAGAAAGAAGAAGAGAAATAACAATTTAACATAAACCAGTGACACAATCCAGGGCCTGATCAACCCTGGCAGGGCCTCCTTGGATGAGGGTGTATAGTGATAATGGCCAAAACACCTGATGAATCCAAGGTCCACTGCTGATGATATCTCCCAAATTGAAAATGATAATCTAGATCGATCTCTAATCCCTAAACCTAACCAAGGAAGGTAAATGGCAGATTAGCCTGGGTAAAAGACCGAAAGTTGAGGCACACAACGATGTGTGCTGCACATAGAGAGAGGTATCATTTCAGAAACACCAGGAAGACTGAAGCTCATTGCAGGGACAAAGCAGGACTCATGATCTTCACCAGCAGCTCTTTTTTTGAACATAAAGATATTATATTCAGTCCTGTAGAAAGTTAAATATTTAAATATATATTATGCTCTCGTTACTCTGTATGAATGATTCTGTATTACTTTATGATAAATAACACACTATTGGCAAGAAACGGTGAAAGAATTCCGGATCAGACGTTTTTAGTTCAACATACAAGTGACGATTTTTGACCTTCATCAGGTTTTATTCAATTGTGTCAGAGAAAACATCACATCCTCTTCATGCAGCTGACTACATTCAGTGTTTAAAACAGGAGTTGAGCAGGTCTGAGATTAGCACCTTTCTGAAACACCAAACTCAGGTCCTGTTAATGCTGGTATATAGTGACACAGTTACATGGGTGATCAATCCTTTTGACTTTGTCTTTAACTTTATCTATAAGCAGCTGCAGCTTTTACTGAAAGCACATGTGGTACTTTAACCTTTGTACTGTTTTCATCAGTTAATTATGGAGTTACTACAAAGAGTGAAGATATAGGATGATCTGTCTGCTGTCACTGGCTGGTGCTGAGGTCTGAATCTGAGGGCAGCTCCTGTAATCACAAGGAGAACAGAATCATCACAAACTGAAATATAAAGTTTCTCTCTCAAATCTGAAATAAAAAAATTTCCAATATAATGTTTACCTTTTGAGTTGTTGATGCTTTGTAAATGGAGGTATGCAAAGATGAGATGATGGAGCAGGTTTCAGTCCTGGTTCAGTCTGCTGCTGCATCCTGGTCACCAAGCTACCGAGGTATTATCAGCAGTGTGTGAGCTGCTGCTTGGGTATTGAACAAGAAATATTAAGGCTTCAAATTATTTCTCTTAAAGGATGTAAGCTGTACAGAGTACTGCACATGTGACTTTGTGAACATATCTCATTAGCAATAATTCAGACAGTTTTTTAACATGAATGTTTGCAACAAACTCAGTACAAAAATATATACAGAGTCAGTGCTAAAAAATTCATCAGTGGAAAAATTAAACATATATTTGAACTTAAGCTGCCAAGCGGAAGTAGTTGGTTTCAGTACATAAATATCGGGCTTTGCTATTTAATTCGTAGTTACTGATTAATGAGGGGTTACTGAAGTGCCAGGTTTGTTACTATCCTTACAGATGTGGCAAGAGACAGACAACATGCTGTTTGTTAATAATCAGCTCTGCACAGGAGCTGAAGCAGAGTCCAGCCTGTTGCTCTTACAGTAATATACTCATAATAAAAGTACAGTAACAGTAGTTAGTTAGTGACTGAGCAGCCCGGTGCTTTTCTCTTGATTTCTGTGTACATAACTGATTTGTATCACTGCCAGTACATAAACACAAATTCAAACTTTATCCTCGGAGCACAGATGTTTTAAACTGATCTACTTCTATATTTCCGATGCATGAATTCCATCTTAAAACCATATTTATTTTGTCTGTATTGGTTCATTTTGTACAGCAGCCATTTTCATTATTCGTTAAGATTTTTATTTTATTTTATTTTAATTATTAAAAAAAAGATCAGCGTTGTTTCATTATATAACGCGTCTGAGATATATATTTTACAGGGATTACAGGCAGAGAAAGGGGAGTAGGGGTGTGCTGCAGGATGAACATGAATAACAGTGCACAAAATAGATGTGATATACATGACAGTTCTTCCCTCGTTGCACTGCAAGGGTGATGAGATTCTATGAACAAATAAAAATTAAATGCAAACTAAATTTTTGTTGTTGTTTTTTTAAACATTTTAAGTTTTTAGCTTTAACTTTTTTTCTTTTTTTTTGATTTTCAGTACCAGTAGTTACATCAGACCTTCCCAAAGTGATTGGGGCCCAGAGCCATGGCAGGGGGGGCGCGGTATGAAAAGGAAAAAAACAAAAGGCTTGGGCACTGCTAGCACGGGCGCCCACAGAAACGCAAAGCAGGAGATGAAGCATCGCTGAATATGTTTCCAAACCAACTTCATTCTAAGCCAAAGACTAGAAAATCTGGTGAAGCATATCTTCCCTTTGGTTTCACCTGCACAAGTGCCGAGGTAGGTCTCCCCTGCAGAATTAGTTTTCCCTTTGTCGGGAGCAGCGCTGGGCTCTCCAAATCACGGACAAACAGTATCCCACATTCTTGATTTTTAGTTCACAAACACTTGTTGTAATGACTAACTACTCCTGACATTTTGGAGATGTTAGCTCTGTATACAGTAAAGTTACAGCGGGATACAAATAATATCAGACTGATCCTGCCACGATTTGTTCCCCCGGTTCAAATCACAGACAAACAGTATCCTACAGTTGTTTATGTTTTTGAACCCATTTTGCACAGAGACACATTTTTTAAAAAATGTATTGATGGCAATGTTGAATATTATTACTCAGGAAAAAAAAAACAACTACAGTAAAAATAATTACACCCTGATGCGTCAGCCTTTCTAAATAGAGGGACAGTAACTGCTTGTGTATATATAAGCGTGTAAAACCTGAGGATAGTCAGATTAACAGTAACAGTATTTTGTCTCTGTCTGCCATTCTGCAATGCAGCTCATGTAAACAATGTGGCGCACAGCCTGACGTGAAAAAAGGCACATACCTTTGACGTTGTGTCAAACTCTGTATTCCTCATCCACAACTAAACGCAAAAAAGGGTTTTTAAAAAATATCTGTTTTCGGTGATTCGAAACGCCGTTTACGACGAAACAGCTGCGTTTTCAAAAATACCCGTGTAGGTGTGGACGTAGCGTAAAAGAGTTAGTAGTTTATTTTATTACTACCCGTAATTTATTGCAGATTACTTGTATTTGCTTAATTGTTTACTAAATGTTTGAGGTGTGAAATAAAGCGCAATGGATATGTTAGTGCGTGTGCGTGCGTGCGTGCACGCGCGGGGGGGGGGGGGGGGGGCGAACATTTTTCATGTAAAACATAGGGGGGCCCAGCAAAAAAGAAAAAGTGAGTTACATCATGAGCTTCACATTAAACATTAGGCTACTCAGCAGCATTTACAGTCATTTAAAAAAATTGCTTTATTCCTTGGAAGCCAGAAACACCAGAATTATGACTCACAAATACACCAGCGGTTTATTAAGAAACTCAAACCACAGTTCCTTTTCTGGTCTTCTACTGTTATTTCCCCTACATGGACCCATGCTTTTTCATGTTGTGCCTGAGGAACAAGGCGGGGCTTTATCCATGGGAACTTTATTTGAAAATGCATTCCCAAAGGTTTTGTTTCACTTACAGTAAAAGCCACAGTGAACACTGGAAATTGAGGTGATCACTTGTGAACTGCGTTAAGCCACCGACATGGCGCTGACTAAATTAATGAGTGCGATCCTCACCAGAGCGCTGTTTATTTTAGTTGCTGTCATCGGAGTGTTGAGGGTGGCATCGGTTAAGAAGGATAACAATTACTTGTTTCTGGCTTTTCTTTTGTTGCCGCTTGTTGTTGAAATGATAGTAACACTGAAGATGCGAAAAGGACAGGATTATAAATGGTAAGATAAAGGAGCATGCATGCAAGTGATGGTAAAAACAAAAGTGGTGTAATATTGTAATTATATTATCCTTAAGTATTCATTAGGCTACTTAATCCCTGAAGCTACTCAGATTACTTTCAAACTCATCTCCGCTCTATCGTTTGCACTTTCCCCCTCTAATAGACAGTATAACAGTATAATGCATGATTAAATTATGCATTTTCATCTTTTCCTAGTCTTTATCTCGACCCCGGTGTACCTTACATGCATATTTAAGTAGTTTGTACCTTTGCTGCTACTATATTGATAAGCTGGGAAGCTAATAGTTAAACTGTCCCGAATGGTGGTACGATACCCCTTGACTTTTATTACTTCAAGTTAATCTCTTCAGTCTTCCTGCATGCTTGAAGTAAACATGCTTATCACTTTTCTTTTTTTTAAACATTTTTGAATGCCTTTGGTTGTCTTGTAGGTTTTCCCCTCCTATCTTTCTCTTCCTCATTACTATTATTCCCTCGATCTGGATTCTGGAGATACAACACCAGCAAGACAAAGCCAGCGATCTAGAGGTACCCCATGTACATTTATTGACCGATTCTATCAAATGTCACATCTGCTATTAATGTTAAGGTTTATAAGATTTAATTACAATAAAACAATAAATACCCCGTGAAATTCACTCACAAAAGCTTCTTTAAATTGTTTTCAGTGCAATAAACTAGATTCTATAGAAACTTTGCAAAGACTGTGGAATCGAAGCACCGAGCAGGGAAACACCACAAACCAGAATTTACTTAAGGTAAGAGTGACTGAATTGTTAAGTTATGGTTCTGTGACAGAAATAAAGAGAGAAAAAAGAAAGAAACTGTGAATGAATGAAATGAGAAAGATCACTGTGCCATGTGAAGTGCTGTAAATACAAGAATGAGCTCAAATGGGACAAGCAACGAGCAAATACAGACTTGCCAGGAATTTATTTCGTTATCCATGTCTAATCAGAGAGAACCAGTTTTTCCACTTTTTCTACCAATGTTTTGAGTGAAACTCTCTGTATTCAGCCAGGAAGGGACATATAATAATAATAATAATAATAATAATAATGGTAATGGATTGCATTTATATAGCGCTTTTCGGGCCCTCAAAGCGCTGTACAATTCCACTATTCATTCACTCTCACATTCACACACTGGTGGAGGCGAGCTACAGTTGTAACCACAGCTGCCCTGGGGCAGACTGACATAACCTTCTACAGAAATAACATCCGGTGGCGTTGTTCCTCTTCTGGTCTTTCGCTAAGAAGGCTGAACTACCACTGTAAAGGTTGTTATTTCTTTATGCTAAGACACTTAACAGCTTATTGACTGTTTCATAATGACTTCTCTTTAAGAAAGCCAGAAAGAGCAGCAGAAAAGGTTGAAGCAACTCAAGTAAAATAAAATGATTAATGATGATTTCATCATTTAGTTCTTGGAAACTGTTTAAGCAGCAGTGTGGACTGAACGCATAGTGAAACTATTTATGCTCTGATTTTTTCATTTTTCATTCATGCATTAAGATTGACTGGAAATTAATAAAATAATCCAACTGATCCACTCCACCTGTAGGAACAATGCATTTTTGTCACACTTAAAAAAAACAAAAACGAATTTATTTCAGCTACCTATCCAAAATGCGGCATCCAAATTCCAGTGCCTTTTCACTTAGTACTCTTAATAAGAAAAGTAGAAAACAGTAAAGCATAAAGTGGACAGTCTCTCTTACTTTCATCATTTCAAATATCATCAGATTGATGACAAAGACCAGAATCAGAATCAGAATCAGAATCGTGTTTATTGGCCAAGTATATGTGCAGACACATACAGGGAATTTGGTTCCAATAGATGGTGGCTCTCAAGCACAGCAATGTAAATCACACACACACACACACACACACACACACACACACACACACACACACACACACACACACACACACACACACACACACACACACACACACACACACACACGTGTCTATATATACATATTACACATACATACACAAAGCTGTGTAAACCAACTATAAATAACGAATCTAAACTTATATACATAAAATACAGAAATGAATGAGGTGGAATGAATACTACAAAATGTACATAAGGTGCAGTTGCAGTCTGGCAGTGTGACAGGTCAACTGTTAAGAAGGGAGATGGCGAGGGGAAAGAAACTGTTCCTGTGTCGGGTGGTCCTGGTCTGCAGGCTTCTATACCATCTGCCAGAGGACAGCAGAAAAGTCTGTGTGCAGGGTGTGAGGGGTCTGTGATGATTTTCTCTGCCCGTTTCCTGGTTCTTGAGAGGTACAGATCCTGGATTGAGGGCAGGGGCGTGCTGATGACCCTTTCTGCTGCCCGTACAGTCCGCTGCAGTCTGCTCCTGTCCTGTTTAGTGGCTGCTCCATACCAGACTGTGATGGAGGAGCACAGGACAGACTCAATGACCGCAGTGTAGAACTGGATCAGCAGCTCCTGTGGAAGACTGTACTTCCCCAGTTGTCTCAGGAAGTACATCCTCTGCTGGGTCTTTTTGAGGATGGAGTTGATGTTGGTCTCCCACTTCAGGTCCTGGGAGATGGTTGTACCCAGGAACTTGAAGGTCTTCACAGTTGACACAGGGCTGTCTGATATGGTGAGGGGGGGCAGAGTTGAGGGATGTCTCCTGAAGTCCACTGTCATCTCTACAGTCTTAAGAGTGTTCAGCTCCAGATTGTGCTGACTGCACCAGAGTACCAGCCGCTCAACTTCCTGCCGGTATGCAGACTCATCACCATCTTGAATGAGGCCAATGACAGTGGTGTCATCTGCAAACTTTAGGAGTTTGACAGCCGAGTTCAAGATGCAGCATTAAGAGCTAGATAATTCACAAAGTGCCCACTAATTGGAGAAATAGGAATAATTTTTAGAAAATAAGAGCCTGGGTCTCAATATTGACGAAGAGTTTTAAAAATGTTTAGCGCAGGTTCCAAGAAAATAGACTTTTTTACTTATTTAATAAGTTTCTCCACTATTCTGTTATTTATTTTGAAAATAATAATTTAAAAAATTGTACAAAGGAACTCAGGTTCTCTTATTTACAGCAGGGTCTTATGACATATTACCTGTACTGTGTCTCAGGTTACTTATACTCAAATGCTTCTGTAGAACTGCTTTTAATTGTATGTGTGGGAAACTATCATAAACTATCATGTGGCTCACTGTTGTTTACTGAAAGGACAGAGATGAGATTAAATCCCAAATGGCTTTTTGAGTGAAGTGATTCAACCTTCTCAGAAAACCAAGTTTTCAGCATTAAACATCTTGCCATCTTTTTTCCTTTTCTTAAATACTGAGCAGAGGTTGTCCACTGTCTGCGCGAATGACTGGATCCTGGCTCTTCACCAGATCGTGCTCATCCTCCTCATTGTGGGGAAGTGGCTTCTGCCTTTGGGAGGCGGGGTCACAAAAGATGAGTTGTCTCAGCTTCTTCTAACTTTTGTTGGCACTGCAGCGGACATCCTGGAATTTACTAGTGAGACGCTGTCAGATGTAAAGTAAGGGGCTAATCGTGTTGCTTGTACGTTAAGAATGTGCTTCTCCTATCGAGACATAAGTCTGCATTTAATGTATGCAAATGCATATATAGTTCCTGATATTGGTGTCACTTTTCTTACAGAGAAAAAAATCCTGCCATGGTTTACGTCATCTTAGCTGTATGGACCTGGAGCATGTTGCAGTTTCCACTACATCTAGCAGGTCAGGTACCTTAAAATACTTGGTGTTTATTAAGGAGCTACAGCAGTGTAAGGAAGTTCCTTTCCTGTTCCCCGGTCATGAAAAAGACAAACAGTCTTAAGAGTGTGTTTAGAAATTGGCTAAAAATCCAAGCCAGTCCAGTAAGTAAACAGTTAAGTACATAAGTGCAGCAAGTAAGTTGAAATTACAGCCCCCGGTGCTTTTAAATGACTAACTCAAACATTTTTACTTCCCGAGACTTAAATTAAAGGAATTAGGTAGCAGGTTATAAGTTTTCAGCTGCTTTGGTGTGGTTCCTCCTAGTGCACAACACAGCTCATGCCCCATGTGGCGAGAGTATGTAGGCAGCTGCTGTAGGATCAAGGATTGATATCACTGACTTGTCCCCACTCTCACATAAACTAAATCCAATACAACATCTCTGGGACTTTATTTTTTTGCCCATCTGATGCTACCAAGTTGCACCTCCGACTGTCTAGGAGCGCAGTAACGCCGTGGTCTCTTTAGGAGCATGTCCCAATGTTGTCAGGCATCCACAGAAGCACGTGGGGGGCCATACAAACTACTCCCTCACATTTTTAGTTGCTGCAATATAATTTCAGCAAAATAGACAAGCCTCCTCACAACATTTTTTCACTTTGATTTCTGGGGTGTCTTTGAATTCAGCCCTCTGTAGGTTTCCATTTCCATCAAACAATGTGGCATCTTTTCATTCCCATCACATTACTCAGTATATATCAGTGTAGATATCAGCATGATTTTTTTCTCATTTTGATCTGATGTGTTTTCAAAGTGTTACAGGAAATATTCAACCTTAGTTTTTGTGGTCTCGAGTCTTTATTTACTATTTGTTAATAGGTAAATGGTTATTCTAATGATAAGTATCTAACTTTAAGGATATCTTATGCTCTGGTTTGTTATTAATTATTATTATTAGCTCCCCAGGTTTCTGCTCACTGGGAACCTTCTTCCTGGTCGTAGCTAAAATACTTTTGACCTGGGTGGCTAAAAAACTTGTTAAGACTATTTCTGAATTAATGTCACCTCTATCTAAGGTTTCCTCCTGTATCATCCTCACTAAAACTTCTAACCTTTGGTTAATCCATCCACTTGTGCCCTGCATTCAGGTTCTAAATTAAAAGGAGACCTGTTATATTCAGACCATATTTGTATTCTTGGACTCTACTAGAATAGCTTGGTAAATTTCACACTTAAACAAAAAGCGAGATAAGCTGTTTTAAAAACAAACAAATAAATGTGACATCTGTCAAACTACATGCAGCTACCTGAAGGAAAGCTTCATTTTTACTGTCAATCATTTGTTTTTCCTCTTCTTATTCAACATAGTGGTGAACACCAAATCTGATGAAGAGAATGGCGGAGAAGATCAAGTTGTCCGGGAAACCTTCTTTATTAAACACAGCACTGATATTTGGAGTATCATAGAGACCCTCTTTATCCAGGATGGGCCTTTTCTGTTGGTCAGGCTGACTGTCATTATTCACTTCAGAGTCCTCCACCAGATGCTTGGTTTCTTTGCCATCAAGAACGGCCTAGTGATCACACTGAGCTTGTACAGGTTGGCCATTATATTGCTGGACTACAGACATTCCATGGGCAACAATGCAGAGGCAGTACCGATGCATGAGTCAGATGACAGACGTTGCAGCCACAGCAGCACTGAGGCAATAGCGATCCATGAGTTAGATGAGCTATGCGACAGACCTTCCAGCCACAACAGTGCAGAAGCAGTATCGACCCATGAGTTGGATGACAGACGTTCCAGCCACAACAGTGAAGAGGCAGTGCTGACCGATGAGTTAGCTCTGGTAGATAAAGAGGAATCTTAGAGTGAGATGTATTACGCTAAACATTTAAAACCTTTTAAATTCAAATGGCAAAAACTATCACTGAAGCAGGAAAAGAAGGAAACACAACACAATGGTTTGACACAGCTACAAAGTCAGAGTGACTAAAGTCAGACTGTCAGATAAGAAGTTAGTCGACTTCTAACAGTGTGATAACTGATGTCTGGCTGACAGGAATTGAGGGCAACAAACGAAGGTGAAAGCGAGATGATGAGATATTTTTGCATGTTGTGTGAGATCGAGAGGAAGATAATAACAGACAGAAATTTTCCTGTTTTAACCCAAACAGGAAATTGAAAGTCATGCAAAAGCCCCTCTAGTGGTAGTCGGTAGGTGCTTTGTTCATTTAAGATGATTGCTCTTTACAAAATAAGGAATATGCTGTTTACAAATCAAAAAGTATTGTTACCTCAGTAGTTACATTAAATCAATGTGATATCTGTGGCTAAAACAGGTGGATCATTGTCCATTTGTACATTTTTTTTAAACTAAAGATAAAATTGCACTCAGGTGATGAGCTGTGTATGAGTTGCTTTTAAAGCCTTTAAAACCGTTTTTACGGCTTTAAAATCACACAAAGTTTTTATACCTGATTTATGTGAGGATCTTCATTTAGCTGGTAAAGGAACAAAAATATATGTCATGTTTGTTGTAAATGACTATAACTCATGATATCCTGTCAAAGCTGCTCTGACCTGAATACATTTCAGTAAATGTGGCTCATTTTACTTTTTTGCTATTTCATTTATCACAAAACCAGAAACAGTGGGTTCAAAATGATTATTTTTTAGTTTTTCTGGGTGATTTGTCGCATTGCCAATATATACAAACACAAATTCAAACTTTATGAGCACAAATGCGCTACATCTACTTCTGTTGAAAATATTCATCTGAAAACTGTGTTTATTTTGTCTACATTTCTTCATTTTGTACAGTAAATCTAACCTGCAAACTGTCTACCGTCTCCCCTCTGTGGACATCAGTGTATTACCACTTTGATGATGCCATCTGTGACAGTTTTTTGTTTGAGAGGTTGCATCAGAATCAGTCTTATCTGAGTTTAGAACATTTCAGCTCCCTATGAAATCACTGTGGCTGCTGTCAAACTGTCACAAGAGTTGATTTTTGTATTCACCATCTATATGCCAGCCAGTTTTCAGAGATGTCAGGAAATTTAAAATTGACATTTGCACCTGCGTCATGGCCCCACAGTATGGTTTCCTGTTTTATTGTGAAGGTCTGTGTCTTATGTTAGTGTGTCCAGCTTCTGACAAAACAAGAGTAAAACAGTTTCTCGACTAACTCCAGCTCCAGCAAATAGTCTTTTCCTTTTCCTCTCTATGATGATTAAACTGGATAAAACTGAACAATGTTTGGAACCATAAATCTGTCATGACAATAAATACTCAGGTGTTCAAAAGGCTCAAGGAATGTGTGAAATCCTTCAAAACAGTTTATCACACCAGATTGAGTCATTTTCACCCTTCCTTAATATTTGGAAATGCTCTAAGGCAAATGAGGAAGAACGGCTGTCCAAAATCCGGTCAAATTGTAAACAAGCATTGTTTCATTATATAAATCATCTCAGATATTTATTTTACAGGGACTTTTTTTTTACAGGAGGAAGGGGAGAAGAGGTGTGCTGCAATATGAAGATGCATAAAAGTGCAGCAACATATATGCCAGTTCTTCTTTAGTTACACTGCAAGGAAGTACATTTAATTGTTAGTGTGATAAAAATCTGTGACCAAATGAAATCACATATAGTGTATTACCAAAAAAATAAAAATGTAGGACAACAATGATACACACTTCTAGTGTTCACCGTCATTCTTTTAAACAGTGTTATATTAACCTTTATTTTGGTGGCAATTATTTAGACCTGTTCATTGACAAAGACTTCATATTGGCACATGCTGCATGTATGATCTGTTGCGGAAAACATATGTTAGAGCTGAGAACTTCAAACAAGGTTATGAGAAATGTGCCAAAGCCAATGAGACTAAAACAACTTTGTGAACTTCAAACACTCCCCAGTTCTCTGAAACTCTGATGGAGAGATGGAGCCTAGCAGTCCCGGTCAAATATTGACATGATTGATTGACAGGATTTTCACAGAAATCTAACCATTGAGTGTTTCCTGACTCACTACTGTAAGAAGAAATGAATTATTTGTATATAGAAACAAACTCCAAAAAGTTGATGTTGTTTATCTGGACATCTGTGTTTTCAGTGGGAGTGACGAAATGTTTATTTAAATTATTATTTAATAATAACGAAATATAATATAATCATTAAATAATAATTCTGAATAATTCCACATGAAGTTAAAACACAAACAAAGTGGAAAAACCATCAAGTTTTCTTGGCAGTTAAGGTGAGCTTGGCTTCCCTCTTGTGGCATTTTAGATGTATTACATCATCTTGCTCCTCTTCTGCTTCACAGCATTTTTCTCTTTACTGCCTCTTTAATTGTAACAGAAAAAGTTAACTAAACGAAATCATTTCTGGAGATCAGGACTCCCGTTAAACTGAACTAGTAAAGATTTGCAAGCTTCTTATTTTGTAAAATTAAGTTAAACCTGGTTGGCTGCTGCATTTTACGCCCACTTTCACTCCACTAATCCATTTCATTCACTGCCACTCTCTTTGTTGAAAGGTGAAAAAGACATTTATCAGGCAAATGTCATTCTCTTTGGCTGCTTGTCTCTGCCTACACTGCTTAACACTCGCTGAATGTCGGGCACGTTTCATTACCCTTGATCCAATCCAAAATCTCAAAAGGTAGGCGATTTGTGCAAATTATTTTCAAAAGGCTAGCATATATATATATATATATATATATATATATATATATATATATATATATATGCATTTGAAATTCACGGGAAGCTGCTTGAAATAACTGAATTTTTAAATTATGTGACTTGTGAAGTTAAACTTAATGCATTCATAGATTTTGTTAGATTATAATATTATTTTATGCCATGTTATACCCCTAATTAAAGGTTGTGAATTATTATGTAGTTTTAGTTTGCAGTATTCTCCTGAAGTAGAAGAAGCTGATAACTATTGCATTTGTTAAACTGATTTGCATTACATTAGACTGATGATTTATTGTGGATGAATGATATTGTTTTATGATGTTATAAGAAATACTGTTTGCAGAAAATCATCGCCTTATTTGTCTGATTAGAAGAGAACGGAACATACTGGAGTTTTCTGCCCCATCTCAGCAGGAGCAGATAAACGGGGAGCCAAGGTCGTAGCTTAGGCACTGTGTGAGAGAAAGCATGTGAATGTTTAGGCTTTTATGATAAGGTGGGGGCCACTAGAGGCTATAAAAGTTTGATCAATGCTCCACCATTTTGAGATCTGAGGCTGTCTGCATACAGTGTCCATCTCCCACGCGTGTGACTATTAAAATCATCGTTTGACTCAACCCGGCCGGACCAGTGTTGTTATTGTGGTTTTTCCTCTTGTATCCATCCACAATATTTGAATCCGTAACAATTTCTATTTATGCATTTGCAAAATAATTTTACCTGTGTTCAGGTTGCTGTGTATTTGTGTGTGGGTTGGCAAATGCATTTGTGAGAAGTCAAAACACGCAAATCATTGTGCAGATTTGTAAATCTTAGTTTATGTTCATGGATAAACTAAATATGCTTTTGTAAACATTTCTAGACTAATTTTACACCACTGAAATATGAAAAAGCACTCGCTTAGGAGGAATGACAACTGGTAGTGCAACAGCGCTTATAGAGCTATCAGTTGACACCTCACAGAACACATAACAGGCTGTTCAAAGATAGCAACACTGGAGTGGACGACAATACTCTGGTGGAATGAGCTTTAGTGTTCACAAGGATTAACTCTTCTTTTATTATCTTTAGCCTAAGGAAACATTGTTCAAAGAAAGGTGGTTTAATGTAGGTAGAGTATAATAATCCCTAGCAGCCTGTCTCCAAGGTTTACTTTACTTTTTTAGACTTTACTGTCTAGCACATGAGCACACCTGCAGAGAATCACATTATCACAGAGTCCTAGAAGTCACAACCTAAAAATAAGTAAATAAATATATAAAATATATAAGCGTGGCCTCACACATCTTCTGGGTTTCTAATTTTCTTCTATTTGAGGTTTTAAAAAATTTAAAAACACAGCTCTGCCTGTGAACACAGTAGCCCCACCCACCTGACGATCAAATGTTTGTTTGTCAGGGGTAACCAATGAGAAGAAAGCTGGTGTAAAGATAGGTGGAAGCTGATATGTATAACTTAAAGTTACTAAAGACCCAGTTGATCACCAGAAAAATGTGAGGAAGTTAATGCAAAGAAATATCAGGTTCTTTTCTGGGCTACCTCCTTGCGAGTGGGCAGATGAAGACAGAGCTCGAAACAAATAAAAGCTGTAGTGCACTGGGTTGTTCCCACCTCACCTATCCCCCTCTGTTAACAGCTCAGGAAAGCATGGGACGAGGCCAACGGTGTGTTTCTTGAGACAGCTGAACGACATAAGAAACTGGCAGATTGATGGGGGACACCTGTTTTCATTTAGATCAACATGTTTGGTTGTCATCAATGACATCTCTTTACAGCCCCTATGTAATTGAAGAAATCATAACTCCATCCGCTGTCTGTCTAAAACTACCTAAATCTATGATAATTCATTCAGCATGTCATGTCTCCCAGCTGAATCCTGTCTCAGTCCTCAGTTCTCTTACCTCCATGTTTTGCTTGGCTTCTAAGTGCTTACTCTTGCTCTTGCCACTGCTTCCAGTAACCCCCTGGTGTGTCATCTTCCTCGTGGCTTTGTTGAAATTCTCCTTTGTGATTTTGAAACTCAAACTTCGGTTTAGATTTGGAATCATTTTATTTCCTCATCTGTCTGCTCACCCACTAACAGCGCTGTTCCCTGGCTTGTAATTCTCTAATAGTCATCATTCTTTCTAGATTGTAGGATGTCATGACCAGTAATATGTCAAACACTGATCATTTTATTCTACATGACAGACAAGATTGTTCTTTGTGCCAAGATAGCAAACAATGTTAGTCTGCATGAGCCTTGTACTGATTGAAGCAACTGCATAGAGGGAATCACTGTTCTGTGATCAGTGACCAGAGCCCCTCGGCCATTTAATAAAAATAATGGATTGCATTTATATAGCGCTTTTTGGGGCCCTCAAAGAACATACTGGTGGAGGCAAGCCACAGTTGTAGCCACAGCTGCCCTGGGCAGACTGACAGAAGCGAGTCTGCCATATCGCGCTATCGGCCCCTCTGGCCAACACCAGTAGGCGGCAGGTGAAGTGTCTTGCCCAAGGACACAACAACCCAGACTGTCTGAGCAGGGGCTCGAACCGGCAACCTTCCGGTTACAAGACAAACTGACAACTCTTTGAGGCACGATCGCCCCATTTCTGTCATTATCATTTCAACAAAGCTGAAAACAGCTGAATTTTGAATACTATGCTCACATAAAAATGCAGGGTCACACCAGGCCTAGGGTGCGATGTTGGATGGCCTTTCTGTCTCAGTCCACAGAAGACAGTTTGTTTCCATTTACTCGCTCACAGAAAAAAAAACCTGCTGTTGTGAAGAGGAAAGCCTGCTGATACAAATTCATTTAATTTAGTTTCAGTGATCTGTAAGTGCTCAGAGTTGACTTAAGACTTAAGATGCGTGGAAAAAAGGAAGCTGCCTCGTGATTAACAGAGACTAATGGGTTTTGAAGAAATAGAACTAAGTTAATTTTTTTCCTTCCTCTTTCGTCTTCTGTAAAATTCTCACTGTGATTTCACGTGATGATGACTGAAGTATGATGACAGACAATTTGGAACAAAGACAGGAAAAGTCTGGCTGTTCTCCAGGGTCACAGACCTTTTTACCGTTTCCTCTGTGCAAAGCTGATAGGCCAGATAAATATGAATAGAAATCAACCTAGCACACAGCCAAACAGGGCAAAGTGACGTGTGTGTGCGTACCATGTTTAGCTATCTTTGTGAGGACCAAAAATTGGAATGTTGCTATGTTTGTGGGGGCCAACATTTCCTCGTGGGGACTAAATGTCCATCATTTTTGATGGTTAGGGTAAGTGGGTAGGGAAAGCATTATGTCAATTTGATGTCCTCACTAAGATATAAAAACAAGTGAGTGTGTGTGTGTGTGTGTGCGTGTGTGTGTGTGTGTGTGTGTGTGTGTGTGTGTGTGTGTGTGTTAGATGACATAATCACTGACTTCTGTTAGATAAGTGTGTGTGTCTCTGTGTCTCTGTGTGTGTGTGTGTGTGTGTGTGTGTGTGTGTGTGTGTGTGTGTGTGTTAGATGACATAATCACTGACTTCTGTTAGATAAGTGTGTGTGTCTCTGTGTCTCTGTGTGTGTGTGTGTGTGTGTGTGTGTGTGTGTGTGTGTGTGTGTGTGTGTGTGTTAAACTGTACAGAAGTTTTAGAATTTTCCTTAGTAGGTTTTAAAACTTAGCATTCTAGCAACAATATCAAGAGGAATCAAATTTATGCCTGAAACAGACAGATGCATAAAGAACAGTGCTTAGACACAAGAAGAATGGAAAGTCCTGAAACTTGTATCATGGACCCACAAACTCTGAGAAGTCAAATTATGATCACCTGATACGTCCACTGAAAAATTGTGGCAAGTTCTCCAAGATAAAAAAACAAAACAAAAAAACATTGCTGTTTTGATCAATTTTTTTCTCCTTAATGTATTTTTTTAATGTATTAAAAATACATTCTTAACATTATTATTGCAAGGATCTCCCACTTTACCTTTATTGCTTCTTCCCGCAGGCGATACGGTCTCTCAATCACACCACCACACAGTACTGACCCACACATATGGTTCTTACACACACACTGGACTTTCTGGACTTTGGTTTTGCACAACACTGGTCACTATATTCTTCATTTCCGGTTAATACTTGTACAGCTGCTGTTATTGTGTATATATTTATTTATATTTAGATTTCTTCATACATTCTTATATAGTTCTATATTGTGTATTGTGTATTTTGTTGTACAGTTATTTCATTTTTAACCTTAATTTATATTTTATTCCTTCCTAGTTAAATTTACCCTTTTTAATTTTTCATATTTATTTCCTTTCTTATTCATAGCCTTTTCCTTTTTTGTTTTCTTTAGGTCACGAGCAGTTGTCCAAGCATTTCACTACATATCGTACTGTGTATGACTGTGTACGTGACAAATAAAATTTGAATTTGAATTTGAATTATTGCCTCAAAACTTTCCACAAATTAAGAGTCTAATTATATTTGTAGCTCTGAAAATTTATATTGACAGTCATGTGAAAAAGAAAGTTTGCAAAGGACTCTATGCAGTCTTTTGCAACACTGCAAACACCTGTCGGCTTCCACAGGAATTAAAACCCAAGAGTTACATCTTAGACTCTACAGGCCTCAGTGAGCATATTGAATGCTAAAGATCAGGACAGGACAATTAGAAAAAGAGCAAATGTGTATGGCTTGTTGGAAGGATAGCCAGGAGAAAACCTCTTCTCTCTATAAAGGCAGCACAGCTTAAGTCTGCACAATTGCATCTGAACAATGTACTTTGGATACAAAGGACAAAGTCAAGAAATCTGCCTTAATGCAAACACCCAAACACAGAATATCCAATACTTCATGGAAAATGCAAACCATGGTGATGAAGGGGTGATGATCCAAGCTTGCAGGCTTGCTTTTGCAGCTGCAGTATCCGGGCAGTCGACAATGAACTTCTCTGTATTTCAAACTATTATTGAGTCAAATGTGAGACCATCTGTTCGACAGCTTAAGCTTGGACGTCCCACACACAACAGGAAATCTACAGCAGAATGGCTCAAAAAGAAAAGAATTAAGGTGTTCTGATGACCCAGGCCAGACCTCAGCTTAACTGAAATGCTGTGGAAGGACCTTAAGAGAGCTATGCATAAATGAATAACCACAGACTTGTAAAAAAGAGTGAGTCAAAACTCCTCCACAATGATGTGAGAGACTGATAAAGTTGTAAAGAAGATTGTTTCCAGTTATTGCTACAATAACATGGTTCTACAAGCTACCAAATCAGAGGGTGTACTTTGCTTCTCATGGGACTCCTGTGATCTTTTTTACATAACTGTATGTGAACATGGAAATACTTCAGTCCACCTTTACCTGCATTTTACACCCCAAGTTGAGTACTACTAGAAATGCAAGTTTTATAAAATTACAAACTAAGATTCATCCAAATATAATCCTATTAAAATGCAGTTACTGAAGTTAACTCTGTAACTTCTGTCGGTGCTGTGCTTTTTTGGAAATCGAATTTCCCAGAGGAACCCACCCGAGGGATTAATAAAGTTCTATCTAATCTAATCTAATCTACATTTACTCAAGTGCTCAACCTAAATACAAGCATAGGGTATTTGCCACTTAACAATCACCTCTTTATAAAAAAAAGATGGTATCCCAGTAATTACAGGCAGATTTCATGGTGCTGAATATTGCAGTATGTGCACTCTGTAGCTCGGGACAACTTGGAGATGAATGAATGAAGACAAAAATATCTTCCTGTATATTTAAGATTGAGAGCAAATGTTTATGCAATGCAGAAGTTGTGTAATTGTAAAGATACTATTACTGTGTGTAGAACAAACTTGCACAATTCTGTAAATAAACTGTATCTGCATTTGGACATGGGTAATTTTTTCCTGTATATATACAGTGGACCTTTCATACATTAACTGAAGGGTATAAAACAGTTAATAAATATAAAATAGTTGCTAAAACTCTCGATCGTGGCTCAAGAGTTGGCAGTTCGTCTTGTAATCGGAAGGTTGCCGGTTCGAGCCCCAGCTCGGACAGTCTCGGTCGTTGTGTCCTTGGGGAAGACACTTCACCTACTGGTGTTGGCCATAGGGGCCGATGGCGCGATATGGCAGCCTCGCTTCTGTCAGTCTGCCCCAGGGCAGCTGTGGCTACAACTGTAGCTTGCCTTCACCAGTGTGTGAATGTGAGAGTGAATAAATAGTGGAATTGTAAAGTGCTTTGAGGGTCTCGAAAAGCGCTATATAAATGCAATCCATTATTATTATTAAAATAGTTTTCAACCAGTAAAGGTCATATTTGCCTGTTTGTTGTTCTGCTTCAGCTTTGGGACTTAATTTATAGTTTCCAGGAATTAAAACAGCTCAGGATGTCCTTGTCGTGGTATTCCTGTTAAAGAAAGGCATGCTGTGATGCTGCCTCCCCCATACCCTTAAAGAATTTCTAATCAGTCCAAGATGTCATGAATTAATCACGAAAAAACAGAAAGACCTTCTTGCGTCAGCTTGCATTGTATTTAACTGGAGCTACATTTATTCCGACTTTCCCTTCTATTGGTGTATCTGATCCCGTCTAAGGGTCGGGGGGGGAAATGGACCTTGACTCTATAAGGCGGAGCTTAAACTTTTGTGACTTTGGCGAAAAACGATTTTCCCCCCACTTCACTGCTGGAGTCACAGTTTCGTTTGTATCCGTGCAGTTAGGAATAACGGGACCGCTGCGGCGTCCAGTGCCAAATTGCAGGCAACCGGCGACATGGGTCTGATTAAATTTATAAGTGCGATCATTACTAGAGCGCTTTTTATCCTGATTGCTCTCATCGGTGTGTGGAGAGTGACTCGGGTGAAGGAACATGACTTTTACTGGTTGCTAACTTTCCTCTTTTTGCCGCTTGTTCTGGAAATGATAATAACCCTGAGGAGGAGGAAAGGAAAGGATTACAAATGGTGAGATGTGAAGCATGAATGTAAGAGTGTGGAAATGTGCTGTAAGGCTGTAATTATATTATCCTTCAGTATGCATTATGTTACTTAACGACTGGAGTTTGCACAGCTACTTGGCATAGATGTACAGTATATGACTAAAACTAAGCGCTTACCATTTCCCCCAAAAGCTTTATCCCTTCCCCCATCTCCCCCGAGCATCCTATATCCTGCCTGTCCCTCTGCTGCTATTGTTAAGCTGTCCTAAGACATTAAGTTGGGGTGGTACCCCTTAACTCATATCGCAGATCGCAGTCTCCCCTGTCTTCCTGCATGCTTGAAATACATTGTGTTGTTCTATTTTTCTGACGTGATATTGCATTTCATTCAACAACTTATTGAAGTGCTATATTGTGTAAGACTGTGCATTTAATGAAGCATCCACCAATCACTGAGGAGGTTAATGGATGCCTCAGAATATCTGTTGTTTTAAAAATCATGTTGCGTGGTAGTATTTTGAGGAAGTAAACTAGAAGCAAAGTGATAATAAAATACTTAATATTGTGGCAGTAACTAATAATTATTTCAAACTGCCAAATCTCCAAAAGAACACAATGAAAAGCATCTGTTGTAATCTTATTTATCTTTAAGGGGTATCAGTTCTGTATATGGTTTTTTTTTTTCTTTTTTACTAATTATAAATAAATAAATAAAAAGTCTGAATGATTCTGGTCATCTTGCAGGTTTTCCCCACCCATCTTTCTGTTTCTCATTAGTATCATTCCCTCCATGTGGCTCCTGGAGCTCCATCACCAGCAGAATAAGAACAGCGAACCTCAGGTACTCCATGCCAGAAAGATAAATTATATAACTTGCTTAAAATAATCTCCTGTTTCTCAAACATGTAATTTAACAACAGATGTTGGTGAGTGGGAAGTTTGCAGGCTTCCAGCTCTGTAAAATAACCGTTCATTATACATTCATTTACGGATTCCATCAGATATCCCATTTGCTTTTAGGTTTATACAGGCTTACCTACAAGAGAATAATAAGTAGCCTGTGAAATTAAGTCTGTAAAATCTTCTTTCATCTGTTTCAGTGTCAAAAGCTTGATTCTTTGGATCTGTACAACCTCATTCAAAACAAGACCTCCAGAAACCTCACGATCACGGATTCCCTGAAGGTAAGAGTGATGGAAAGAAGAAGAAAAAAAGAAGAAAACTGATTTTATACCATTTGGCACTCATAGTCAAATATATCATGTTGAATAGTGTTGTGAAACTAACAGAGCGTTTCCGAATGAACTAACTAAAGGCAGACAAAATTCTCAGGAAAGTTGCTTAGACAAGTCTCTTGGTGTTTACTTCCACTGGTTCTATCTGTTTTGTATTGTTCCCTTTTACTGCTCACAGCTGTATGCCTGCCATGTCAGCACTTTAAAGCTGCCACATAATCATTCATGAGAAAGTCACTGCTCCCAGCCAGGAAACAGTCAAATGCTCACCATAAAAAACCACAGCTTGGGCTTCAGGTGTTTGCTCGTGAGGCTGAAGTTTTACCTCATACAGAGCTTGCTTCTTGATGATAAGCTAACTGCCTGCTGGCTGTTTCTCTTTGATAAAGCCAAAAAGAAAAACACAAAAATGTTTAGCAAACCATATAATATAAAAAAAATCTGTCAAGTCTCTTTTAAAATTCGAGATTCAGGGTGATTTAATGAAATAGTTCTTGGAAACTCTTTACACAGAAGTGTGGATTTAATGTAATACTGAAACTTTAAGTTCACAATGTATATCCCAGAATAACCTCGTCATCAGACACACTGTCTGCAATGCATAAACTTTAACCTTTCCCCCAGTAATTATTGTTTAAATAATTATTATTATATGCGTATGTGCATATAAATTATTATTAATTATTTATATGCACACACAGGGTTAGGAAAATATATATAAATATATATGTAAAGCATATTCTCTTTCTATTAACTTCTATTAACTTCTATTAAATTGTATATTGAAATACCAGCGTCCATGTCTTTTCTCAATTTAGTTGTGGACAGTGCTGCCAGGCTCTTCAAGGGCAAAGAATACGAGACGTGGTTATCAGGAACTGAAATCTGACTGTGTAATACGGGATCCCTGAAGAGACTTAACTGGAAAGCTTCGTACAGACTGATTCCGATATGTTTAGAAAGATTTCAACATCAGAAGACTGGCAGTCTAGTTTTGGCATTAGAGACTGAACAATATAGAAAGTAACCACTAATAGGAAAAACAGAAGTTCTGAAGGCTTGCAGTCAGTGATGATCATTTTATTTGTTGTTTTGACAGTTTCAACTGTTTTTTCTTAGTGTTAAATTTTCCGATATTATGACATTTTGGTTCAAAGGAACTCAGGTTTTCACGTTGACAGCAGAATTTCAGTCACATAGTTTGCTTTACTTATGCTTCTGCAGCACTGCATTTAATTTTATCTGAGGATGGAGAGTATTTGATAACTAGAGAAGTTATGAATAGCTGAGAGACGTGATCAAAGAAAAAGAACAATCTTCAATTGTGTTTTATTATAAGAACGCTTTGAGTAATTCAACAAGAAAGGAATAGATGAGATTTGAGATGAATATCACCAGCATACAGTACAAATCCTTCAGGTAAACAATAAGTTGAAGGATAAAGGATCCAACAATCAACCTCTCAGGAACCTCACTGTTCACAGGTCACAGTCAAATAAGTATAAGCAATAAGAGCATTTATAAGTCTTTCTTTCAAAAGTCTTTTTATTAGACAAAGGTTCCAATACAATGTATACAATAACACAAAATGCTTCAGAATATTCAAAAGTTTCAATCCCTTAACCCTTAAAACAACAAATAATTGGAAGCCTGCTGCCCAACTAAACAAAAAAACAAACCAAAAAACAAACAAACAAACAAAATTTTTTTCAAATCCATACAAGACTTTATATCTTTTAGCCATTGTGTGTGTGAGGGGGAAGAAGAGTCTTTCCACTTCAGCAGTATAGCTCGCCTGGCCAACAATAATGAAAAGTTTAATGTACTGAGTCTGGAGTTGGACAGATTCAGATTCTGGACCGCACCAAACATAGCACAGAGTGGCTCTGGTTCAATTTGATGCTGCAGGACTTCAGACATGGTATGGAAAACAGATTTCCAAAAGGTGGACAAAGAAGGGCAGGACCAGTACATATGAAACAATGTACCAGGAGCACCCCCACACCTTATACAGGCTGGGTCCACCCCTGGACCAATGCCCCCGATGAACTATCTTAAATTGGATAAGTGTATGTCGAGCACACATTGATATATTGTGAACCTGGCCAAGGATAGAGTCCCACAGTTCATCCGTAATATGAAGAGCATTTATAAGTCAATACCAAACACTCAGTCTATCAGTTGGCTGGGTCCATCACTATCAAAATGACTGTCAAGAGTAGCATTTCAGTCATTTCTAAATGGGTGTGCTTTGCGTCAGATGATGTAAGAATAAACCTCTGATAATGGAAGCAATATTTAATTCAGGAGGTCATTAAAATAAGAGGATTGAAACTTCCTGTGCAGTCAAACTGTTTTGAAAGCTTTTCACGTTGATGGTTTTCTTACAAATGGAAATAAGTAATGAGGAGAGTGTGTTGAGAAGATGGGAGAAGTACTTTGAGGAACTCACAGATTAATTAAAAGAGAATGAGGGGAGGACAAATGGAGAACAGGCAGAGGGGAACTGTGAAGACGATGAAGCGGGGCTGCTGGCCGAGATTACCTGTGGGGGTATGAAGATGTCCAGGAGAGACAGCAATGATCAGATTGTTTAACACAATTTTGGAGCGTGAGAGGATGCCTGAGTTTAAATACCTGTGGTTACCCATCCAAAGTAACAGACAGTGCACAAGAGTGGTGAAGAAGAGAGTGCAGGCAGTCTCAGAGTGATTTGTGATAGAAGAACAGCAGCAGGAGTGAAAGGCAAGGTTTGCAAGATGATGGTGAGACATGCTATTATGTCTGGTTTGGAGAGAAAGACGAGAGGCGGGACGTTGAATATTTGCAGATTTTCATTGGGTACGTTGGGTTTGAAGACAAAGTTGAGAAGCTGAGGCGGTTTGTTCATGTGCAGAGGATGCTAAGGCAGGAGGAAAGCGGAAGATCATAGAGAAGATTCATGTGTGTAGTGAAGGAGGACATGGAGAGGGTTGGTGTGACAGGGTGAGATGGAGTAAACGTCATACAGCTGAAACGAAGACTTAGTGGAAAAAATAACTCTGTTTTACGTAGTTAGCATACAAACACTACATTTCAGGACACCTGTCAAACAGTGAGGCCACAATGTAGCTGCAAAGACTATTTTAAATTGTATGACTTTTAAAACTTGCAAAAGTAGCCTGCATCTACATAACTATCAGAATAATCTCCAGTGGTCACATTGCTTTTACAGCCACAGCAATTAAGAACACTGAATAAAACTGCAGTTGTAAAACATTACAAATGAAACAGACTAAATTTTCTACACTGATTGGAAACACATGAGCCCCAATACTACAGTGACCAATAACAGTAAGAGGAGTGGTTTAAACCAGACTATATAAACAATTACTAGACCACAACCACCACACCCATTTCTCCCAGGAGATGAAAGAAAAAACACGTTTTTTAAAAATGGCTGCAGTTAGTTGCAGCGTGTCACTTATAAAAACTGTACAATGTTGTGTGGGATGATAAAATCACTGAAGGATAATTCTGGCAATGTTCTTCATTTTTCTTACTGTCAACAAATCCCATTGAAATATGATAACATACAATGATATCATGTGAATGCCAAGTTTGGCTGTGTTGACAAAGTATAATGTAGTGTGTTCCCCTGACACTAAACTACCACTGTCATCCAAATCTAATATTAACACGTAAAAGATAATTTAGTCACGTCTTGTGGTAAGTGATGTATTAAATTCTGTTTTAGTGTGGTTTGCAACTGTGTCAGTTACTCTTACAGTCACTGAGCACTTTATTAGGAACACCAATTTAATTGAACCGAGGTCAGTTTTTACTGTCAGTTGCAGAAAAGACAGTTCTGATGCTAGTTATTATCAAGGTAAGAGTGGGTGTTGGGTGAAACCCGATACTTATAACTCGGTCAGTCCATCAGAATTGTCTTTTGACCAATTTTCTTTGGTCATAAAGGATAGGATTCCCACCCCACTATCCTCCTCTGTCATGAACTCTCTCTTCGAAGGTTCATGTTGACATCTGTTCTAATAGGGCTAATTTCTGCATTCTTACGGGTATACAAGTGAGTTTAAACCAACTTTAAATATCTGTTAATGTCTTTTCTTTTTCCAGGATATTGGCAATTTTTTCTCTGCTGTTTGTGCGAATGACTGGATCCTGGCTCTCCATCAGATCCTGCTCATCCTGCTCATTGTGGGGAAGTGGCTCCTGCCCTTGGGAGGCGGGGTCACAAGAGATGAGTTGTCTCAACTTCTTCTAATCTTTGTTGGCACTGCAGCAGACATCCTGGAATTTACTAGTGAGACACTATCAGATATCAAGTGGGTGACTAATCATGTTCCATCTCCATGTGCATTTATTTTAATTTCACACAGAGCCATGTACATGTGTTGATAATATATCAATGCAATAACTGAAATAAGCAGTGAAACTCTTTCTTCACTCTTCACCGTGTTTTTTTGTTTTGTTTTTTACAGAGATAACAATGATATGCTGGTCTATGTCATCTTAGGTGTATGGACCTGGAGTATGTTGCAATTTCCACTTCATCTAGCAGGTCAGTGCGTGTTAGTGTATCAAAATGTAACTTTAGTGCTTATTAAGGGCCTACACCATAAAGACACTAATTCCCTAGTAATTCAACATGTTTATAATTTTGCCAAACATCCCATCAACTGCTGGGAGTAAACGGTGATGTAGATAAGTTCTCCCTAGTGCCATCACTTCCCGAGTATCAAAACCAAAGGGCATTGCCACCGACATGGAAATGCTGCTTCCTTCAGACCTATACTTAAAAAAAACTGCTACATGAAGTAGTCAGAACTGGGAATTTGTGCAAATAATTAGAGATAAATTGACAAAGCTTCAAGTTCTCATTTTACCTGAGAAGAGGAATCTCTTATTAGGCCGCTGTGTTCTTGAAATTGCCAAACCCTAATAATGATCTCAATTCTCCATAACCCCATCTCATAATTTATAAGTAACCCTAATGATGCAGTTATATGCATCTTTACCATCGCAGTGCATTTAGAGCACTTAGTACTCTGTGTTTGCACACAGAGAGCCATGTTCACTTTGTCTGGATCTCTTTTAAACACACAAAGAATTGATAGACAAATGCAACATATTCATATAATGCAGAGTTGACTTTGGAAACAGCCACTGAGAAAAAAAAGATCAATTTAGAAGCTATTCTGGAGTTTCTGACACATCTTACAATCTTTAAGATAGGGTATATGGTCAAGCATTATAATACATTTTTGAAAGGTTAAGGTTCTTGAAAAATGTTTGATGATTAAAGGCGTGAACCTCATCAACCCTCTTCAAAGAAATTAGACAACAACCACTGAATATATTAAAGATTAAAGGGTTTAAAAGCTTGACTTTCCAATTACACTAGCATGGTTTCCCCATCCCCCTATAACACAGGAAAACCACCAAAGACTGTTTATAGTTTGACTTGACTTATTCAAATATTTGGCTAGCTCTACATATTTGATCTGATAGATTTTTATACCAGCTACCCCTCCTGACAGAACTCCCAGGGAATTTGTGTGTCCTACTGTCCTCAAATCAGGAACCCTCAGCTTTCTATGTGACTATGTAAACCATTACACTCCAACAAACACATTAACTGGGTAACATAGGAGTCCTGTGCATATGTGAAGAGTTTTCACTTCTATGATAGGTTAGACTTTTTTGAGGTTTAAACAGCTAAACAATAAATGGATAGCCTTTGTTTTAGTTTTTAGCCATTTAAAGGCTAAAAATGATGCTTTAACTGTAGGTCTTAGTGATGCCCCTCCTCTTATCTACTGATCTACTTAAAGAAGTAAGCTGTTCTAACTGTTTCTCCCTCCCCTTTATCCAGCTTTCTTCTAATTGGCTAACTTTCTTATGGGTGGGAAGATGTAAGTTCAAGGGAAAAGCATAATAGGTATCCTTTATGTGTGACTATTCCAGCATTTCTTTAGAGAAGAAAGATTTACCTCTTGAAAAACAATAGCAGGGAAGGTTGCTCTAAATAGCAAGTGTGGCGTCTGTCAGACTACATCAAGCTACCTGAATGAAACCTTCATTTCACTCCCAATCTGTTGCTTTTTCTCTCCTTATCTGACATAGTGGTGAACTCCACACCTGGCAGAGAGGCTGATCAGGGTGCACAGGAGTCTCTCTTGACTAAGCACAGCACTGACATATGGAACATCATTCAGGCGCTGTTTATCCAGGACGGCCCTTTTCTGTGTGTCAGGCTCACTGTGATGGCCTGCTTCAAAGTCTTCCACCAGATGCTTGTCTTTTTTGCCATCAAGAACTTCCTAGTGGTTGCACTGAACTTGTACAGGTTTGTTGTTATATGTCAGGACTTCAGAACCTCCAGTGACAATGATGCCGGGGGCACCGCCATCCCATGACTTTGATGCATAAACAACAAGTGTAAACGGAGGTCTGGGAGGATTTTACACCAAACTTTTTAAAGATTTTTCAGTTAAAAAGAAAACTACACCTGGAGCAGGAAAATAAAAAGAATTTAATGCTCTCTGCTTTCTTCACACACTTCTACTGTGTGAAATACAGAATTCAGAAAACTCGGATATGCTGAGCAGCTAAGTTCAGAGACTCAACTGCTTAGCATCCAGTTCAGCCTATGAAAATCTCTGTCAACTCATTCATGTAGTACTTATATCCGGTTATGAATACATGATCTAAATGTTAGTTTCAACTATGCACGGTATAAACTGGTTTGTTTGTTTGTTTGTTTGTTTGTTTGTTTGTTTGTTTGTTTGTTTGTTTGTTTGTTTGTTTGTTTGTTTGTTTGAATGAATGACTTACGTGACCAACAGCACCAGGGACACAGCAAAACAAGGAAACAGAGCAGAACAGGAAAAAGGTGTGGCGGTCACAATAATAAATATCTCCATATAAGAAAATAGTGCAAATCTACAACACTAAGCCTGTCAACACTCCACAATGCCTTAAAGTAGCTCCAGTGCCTCTGCTTATCAGTGCAGCATAAAATAACTGAAGTCCCAGACTTTCAGGTAAGACTTTTGTGCTTAATGGCTGAGGGGACATGAGGTCACCAAGAACAGGAAGAGAAAAATAGATGAGAGCAATGGCTCAGAGGCTAGGAGGTGTTGACAAAAAGCTCGACAGCATTTTTCCTGTCTTAACGCAGACAGGATGTTCCGGCTGACTAAAACAAACCCTGATCCAGCAGCTGGCTGTTAAAGAAAAGAACTTTAGCAGCGTGGATAATTATTCCACACCTTGATTGATGGTTAGTTGTACCTCTTGGATGGTGATGCTTAAAAAGTAATTCATGCCCCCCCCCCCCCCCCCCCCCCTTCTTTTTTAACAAGTATCAGAAATGTAAAATAATCCCTGAAGTGGGTGAATTATCTTATCGTTCGTGCAATATTGTTAAAGTAAGTAAAAGTAAGTAAGTAAAATTTATTTATATAGCGCTTTTCACAGATAAAAATCACAAAGTGCTTTACAACACAGAAAATGGGAATATAAAACAATATAACAGTAAATAAAACAATGTAAAACAATAAAACTATAAAAACAGCATAAGAAGAAATTAATCAAATGCTTTTCTAAATAAAAATGTCTTCAGCTGTTTCTTAAAACAATCAATGGAGTCCGTGCAGCGAAGAGACAGTGGGAGAGAATTCCACAACCGTGGTGCCACAGTCTGAAAGGCCCGATCACCACGAGTTTTAAAACGAGTGCGTGGTACCACCAACAGTCTCTGATCTAATGACCTTAAAGCCCGAGAAGATGTATGTGATTTCAGCAGGTCAGATAAATATTGAGGAGCCTGACCATGCAGGGCCCTAAAGGTTAGAACTAAAATTTTAAACTGAAACCTAAAATTTACAGGCAACCAGTGAAGGGAGGCCAAGACTGGAGTGATATGCGATCTTCTCTTGGTGCCTGTTAAGAGACGTGCTGCAGCATTCTGCACAGTCTGAAGACTATTTAAGGCTGATTTGTTAAAACAAGTAAAAAGGCCATTACAATAGTCTAAACGAGAAGAAATAAAAGCATGAATAATCATCTCAAGTTCAAGCTTTGATACCATTAGTCTGAGTTTAGAAATATTCCGTAAATGATAAAAACAGTTTCGGACTAGCTGCTTAGAATGCTGCTCGAGCGACATCGAGCTGTCAAATAAGACACCGAGATTTCTAAGGCTTGATTTTACGTAAGGGTCTAAGAAGCTGATAAAGAGACCAAACACACCGTTAAACTTTACTCAGGTAAGGAGCTCTGTTTGCGTTGTATTTAAGACCTTTAAACTTCTCCTCAGGCTTTAAGATGCCAGCAATTTTTGTTTTCAAATTATTCGTATTGGTTTGGTGATGCTATTTTGACTGCATTATTTTCCTAGATTACTGCAAGAAATAGCATCTTATCCTGTCAAGGTCTTATTTTTTTCTGTAATTCTGTTTTTTTAAATAAACATCATTAAATGATGTAGCTCTGCCTCCCGTTACTTTACTGAACAAGCATTTGTTTCAGAATTAAACTGATCATTTACAGCAGAATTCGTGGACTGACCTGTTTCACTTCACAGATATAAATTCAAACCTCTGAGCATGCATTTCATCTTAATTCTGATACAAAGTATAAATTATAAGGTTCAGCCGTCACTTGACTTCTGCACAGCCTCACCTTAAAGTAAAAGCTGAATCACTTTAAGGAAAAAGTGATTCCTATTTATTTTGAGTAAAGCGATCATTTTTTACAGTAACTCGATTCTGCAACCTGTCTGCTGTCTCCCCTTTGTGGACAATTAGTGTATTAACACTTTGATGCCATCTGTGGGCAGATTTTGACATGTTGTATAATCATAGTCAGTTTTATTTGAGCTTAGAGCTCTCTGTGAAATCACTGTGGCTGCTGTCAAACTGTTACTGGAGTTCGTTTGTTTTTAATAGAGCAGCCACAGACTGCCACAATAATCCAAAAAATCCAAAATAAAAGTTTTGCATCTCAAAGCTGTGTGTTGAGGTGTAGTGTTTGCATACCCTGAGTAAAATAGAGTTAGTTTAACAGCAAGTGAACTCGCTTTGGAAGAAACATCTGTTCAGAAGACAAAAAGCATTATTTGTCAACCAAAGCATGTTCTCTTAAGAGAAGTTATGTTGTTGCCCTCAGGTTGGTGCTGTCCTGCACCTGTGGGAAAAACAAACTGCTACTCAAAATCTTTCATATCGTCTTCTAATAAGCTGCTGAATGTTGAGTAGTTTTTCTTATTCCATCTTCAATCTATGTTTAGGTTCTACCCAGAGACTTTAAAACTGTACCTACGTGTAGTTTGTTTATTTATTCCAAATTTTATATGGTTATTATGATGGTGGACTGTCAAACTGAATTGCCCATTGTGGCATAAAAGTTTTCTGAATATGCGCGTCGCCTTCTGAGCTAAGTCTTCATTTCATGAGCATGAAGATTACAGTGAAAGAAACTGAACATGGCTGTGTAATATCAGTCACCAGTTTGACTTTGCCTGTTATTTGGATAAACATGCAGGTATTCAAAGGGCTGACAGAGAGACAAAGATAACTGTGGAAAACCTCCGTAAGAGTTGCTATCTGTGCACATTAGCTAGAGCATTTCTTGTTCTTTGTTATCATTTGATAATGTTTTCATCATAATCAAAGTGACACCGGACTCAAGAGAAAGCACAGCAGCTTTAAAGTTTACAGAATTCTGAAGAGTTTTGAAACAGGTGAGTACACAGGGAAGTGAACTCTTTACAGGGAAATGGGGATTTCTCTCAAAGAGAAGAGGACACGTAAGAGCTGACTAAGGTGAGGATCGCAGATACAGTTTCAAATTGTTTACTTCTGTGTTTCTTCTTAGCAGGTTGCACTGGCCAAACAAGTAGGCTGAAAAAATCAAGAGAGGGAACAGAAGAGAGTGGTGGAAAGCGGGCAGGAAATTAACTTGTAAGCATATTTCTCTTGACAGGTAACGTCCCACTTGAAAGTGCAGGTAAGCTGAGTTTGGAGGAATGCACCAAAATCTTTCCAGCAATCTTAACACCATGCAATACCAAGGAGCCAATGATCTTGCAGAGTGTGGACACTCAAACTGGAGTCACCTCAGGGTGGGCAATTCCACCTGAGAAGGGGGAGGCAGAAGTGAGAGAGAGAAAAAGAGAGAAGAAGAAAAACAGCCTTGGCCTGCCAGGACCATGACTAAAAACAAATATTGGTTGCATATAACTTTTTGTGAAAACGTGTATTTTTTCTATCAGCTGACAAGTTTTATTTCAAATAATAATAATAATATTAATAAATAAATAAATGAAGATTTTGGCTTCTTCTACCAGCCACTTCTTTTAGGGGACTGTCTCCATCTCACCCTAACCCTAGCATCCTCCTCTGTCACACCAACCTCCATCATGTCCTCCTTCACAATATCAATGAACCTCCTCTGTGGTCTTCCTCTTTTCCTCCTGCCCGGAGGACCATATGCATACCACTGTCCCTCCTCTACACATGTCCAAACCATCTCAGCCTTGCCTCTCTGACTTTGTCTCCATCCTGAGCTTTCCCACTGATGTACTCATATCTAACCTCTCTCTCTAAATATTAATTTATCTATTTCTGGTAGTCATTACTCTTTGATCAATACAAAAAACAAAAAACATTTTGACACATGAATTAAGTATTTCCAGTGAGCTACAGCTTTTGCAGAAGTGGGGGTTTTTTCTGAATGCATAAGCATGCTCTAATTTGCAAAAGAAATCTTCAGAACTGAGAACTTGTGAGAAATGTGCTAAAGCAAACAAGCAAACTGTAATTAGGTGTTGGACCAAAAAAGTCCAATGTGCTCTCCAAAGGTGACAACTGAGTGTTGTCTAACAGTTTATTATAGTAATCTACAATCACAGTATGTTTTTTAATTTACTTCTTTATTAGGAGATACCTACATTCATCTGAAGAATAAAGGTTTCACAGGACTCTGTGCAATCCTTTGGAAAAACTACATACACCCTTACTGCTTCCATAAGAATTAAGGATGTAAGTAGCAGCTATACTATTTTGTTTGGAAGGGTTGCCAGGAGAAAAGCCTATTCTATCTAAAATGAGCTTGGCAGCACAGCTTAGGTTTTCCTAAAACCCCATAAACACAGCAAAGCCCCATAAAAAAAACCCTCATTTGTAGCACGATGATGAAAGGGTGATGATTTGGACTTGTTTTACAGCCAAAGGATCTGGGCACTTTGCAGTCAAGTTGACCATGAACTTCACTTTATACCAAAGTATTCTAGAGTCAAATATGAGACCATCTGTCTCACAATTAAAGCATGGCTCAAACAGGGACCTGAGTGGACCAAAATCCCTCCATATACAGTTATTGCCGTTAAAGATGATTCAATAAGTTACGGAATCATACATTTAATTTTTGATTAGATAGACAGTTCCATGTAAAAATCATAAAGGCATACAGAATAAATACAGCCAAACGCTGTGTGTTGTTGTTGTTTTTTTACCTCCTTACCTTTAAAGAAAATATTAAGGTTAGCTGGGCTGCCATCTTGTGGCATTTTACATTTATTACATTTATTTTGTACTCTCTCTTTATATTTTCTGCCTCACAGCACATCACCATTACTACCTGTTGGAATTCCGAAAAAGAAAAGTACATCTCTGCAGCATTCAGCTCAACTATCTTCTGTTAAACGCAATCCTTTCTGTGATCAGGACTCGAGCTTAGACAGTAACGGTCACAGGCCGGTTGTTGGGTGTGTAATATGACACACTGAGTGGGGCTGGGCTATACTTTGCTATTGTATCCAAATAAGCCCAGCCCTTCACGATCCTAACCTGGCTGACGGGTACGTTTCACTCTTGGGTGGGGCTGGAGCTTTTATATTATATCCTCACATCACCCACTGTCACTGCGCAAAGACGCATAAGACATTGAGCGGACAGATTTCGGCTCCTTTGCTCGCCTTTCCTCTCCGTGTACACCGCTCGCTGATCGTCGGTCATGTTTCGCTGTGGGATCGCCTACCCTCGATGCAGGTGGATCATTCCCCTGCTTCTGCTCTTCGCCATTATTTTTGACCTTATCGCCATCTGCGCACAATCGGGATGGGTAGAGGACGAGGACGCCAAGTCTCACTACGCCAGTATGTGGACGCAGTGCCGCGGCTTAAAAGACAACTGGAAGTGCCAGTCGCTCATGGAGTTCTGTAAGTATCAGTCTACCTCACACATAAACCATACACAATATGCTGTTCAAAGATAATCCGACAAGAGCGAATGGGATGCCTTAATGCAGCCAATAATAAACCTCGAGTCAG